CCCCCCCCCCCCGCGGCGCGCGCGCACACACACACACACACACACACACACACTCACACACTCGCCCCCCCCCCCCCCCCCCCCCCCCCCCCCCCCCCCCCCCCCCCCCCCGCGCCTCCCTCTCTCCTCGCCTCTCTTTGCAATCGCAAGAAGCGCACTCTCGCTCACACGCGCGCACTCACACACTCACACGGTGGAAGGAGGCGAATAATAACTCAGCCATATTTCAGCCGCCGCCGCCGCCGGGAGCCGCGGGCACAGTCCGGGGACGCGGCAAGCAGCCTCGGCGGCCGCTACGATGGTGCGTTCTCCGTGGCGCGCGTGTGTGAGCCGGAGTGTGCGGGCTGACAGCGGCGGGGCCGCACGCAACTTTGCCCCCGCGCTGGGCTGTGCGCAGTCGAGCCTCGGCGGCTGTCCGCCCGCCGCCCTGCCTTTCTGAATTTTATTTTTGGGGGGAGGTGGGAGATACTTTGGGGCCACTTTGGCTCTTGGAAGTGTGTTTCGGGGAGGCTCTGTGAGGCTGGCCTCGCCGATCGCGTGGGGGTTTTCGCCGGGGGGTGCGGGGTGCCTTAAGTTATGGATGCCTCGGCGTGTTTTGCTGCGGGCGTGTGTGTGTGTGTGTGACGACGTCTCATTTTTGTTGTGCACGAAACCAGTGCTAAGAGCACGGGAGTTTGTACCCATCAGCAGAGGCTGCCTGTAGTTTCCATTCCGCCTGGCACAGCGCTCCACACGCACGCACACACACACGTACACAAAGACTTCCTCGGCGTGTGCCTGTCGCCGCGGTACTTTCAGGGAGGGGGCTCACCAGAATCCCCCCACCTCGGGGTCCCGGCTACCTCCCTTCCCACACCGGGAAACCGCCCTGGCATCGCCTCCTAATTGTCTTCTAATTTGTTTCCGATGCATTTGTTGTCGTGCTTGTAGTGGCTGAGTGTGCTTTCCCTCTTACACCCCCACCCCCGACCCCCGAACCCCTTCCCGACTGGGGGCGACATTCCGTTACAATCCCTGCGGGTGTGGATGCGGGGCCCCGGGCTCCGGGAGCCGGGCGGGCCGAGTGGGGTGTATTTGGGGGTGTGGGGTGTGCGCGCCCACGCGCGTGAAACGTGGATGCAGAGGGCACCGCCGTTTCCTTTTATGTGCGTTTCAAGAAGGAGGAAAAAAAATGTCAGGCGCAATGTTCAGTGTCGAACGGTCGCCTTCCTGTTGTTCACGGCTGTCTCTCCTCCCCCTGCCCGCAGTGTGCCGTGCAGGTGAAGCTGGAGCTGGGGCACCGCGCCCAGGTGAGGAAAAAACCCACCGTGGAGGGCTTCACCCACGACTGGATGGTGTTCGTGCGCGGCCCGGAGCACAGTAACATACAGCACTTTGTGGAGAAAGTCGTCTTCCACTTGCACGAAAGCTTTCCTAGGCCAAAAAGAGGTAGGGCTCGAATACAAAAGGAGCTTGATAAAAAATGTCTTTGCTCGCTGAGGAAACAATCGCTTGGCCCGGGCGGTCCCCCTGCCCCTCTCCCCGCCCCCCGCGTCGCGCTCGCCGGCGTCGCCTCGGGACTAGGGTGCGCGGCGCCGCGCTGGCCAGGTCCCGGCTCCCGCCCGCGCGCGCGCCACTTCGGCTTCGGGAAAGTCACCGCCGAGAAAGGACCGTCAGGTGTCGAGTGTTTATTCATCCCAAGCCAGCCCTCACCGGTCCTCTGGGGTTAGCCGCGGGTTCTGTGGGGAAGGTGCAATTAGTTGTTGGGTTTGGAAGTGTCGGGGGTGGGGGGGGGGCGCTGAAGGGAATAAACAGCTTGCGCCTTTTTTTTTTTTTTTTTTTTAAACCTGGAGAAATTGAGATATACCTGCGTTATTAGCAAGGAATGCAGGGGATGTAGTTATTGTTCCGTCTCGAGAAGTCGCCTCTCTTTAGGGTCTTCTCGGTCTTCCTCCCTGTGTATTCGGCACTGGGTGCTGGTTGTCAGATTTTCCTTTCAGTGGGTTAGCCACCCCTACCCGGCGCCCGTCAGCATTTTCTGTTTAGTCGGGGTTGGGGGGGCTTACTCGTCCCTAGCCCCCCCTCCCCATAGCACTTGATTGCCCCTTTGATTTTTGAGCAACGTTCCGAAGTCTCTTACCCATGGAATCTACGGGGAAAGAGGGTCCCTGCAAAGGTTGAAGCTAAGTTTCAGAGGAACGATGTGGTCCTGCCTTCTGTTTCAGTCCTTCCCCACCTTGGTTTTTTAGCCTGGGTCTCTAGTTTGCATAATCCAGCTCAGCCCCTCCGATCCCAAACATTTCCCATAAAGCGCAGGACGGTTTTGAAAAAAAGAAACGGGGTGTTATTTTGGAGAAAAATTAAAGAGGGTTTAAGAAATCTGATTTCTGTTCCCTTGAGCCTCCGGAAAGCTAGTGTCTGGTTGTTTTAGTTGGATTAGTGGAGGTAACAGTACAAATACAATAAGGTGCTTTGTTTGTGAGCAGGTTTATTTATCTAACTCGACACAATGGTTAGTAGTTATCTTCCATTTGATCCGTAATCTTTATTGGCATCTAGAACTCCTGCAGTTTCTTAGAGTAACATCATAATAAATCCATTCTGCTTAGAGCGACTGGAAATTATTGAGCATTGAGGAGCTGAATAAAGAAAGGCGAAGTGCTGTGCGCCTCCGAGGTGGTAGAGGTTTGTGCTGATGCTTATTTTTGTTTCCAGAGCTCATGTGATGGGTTGTAGGGTTGTATATTTTGCCTTTAGTGGTTTGTTTTAGAGCTCCTCATGAGAACTTGAACAGTTGAATTTGATGGGCTTTGCTGGATGGTTAATAAATGAATCCAGCCTCTGATAGAGGGGTAGCAATATGCGTGGCCTCTAGGAAATTGCATTTTGATTTTGTTAGCATTTTAGATCAAAATGTAGCCAGAGAGCTTTTACTTCGTATTTCCTCAGTATTGTAATTAGGATGAGTATTGTCAAGTTTTCTGTTACTGTGTGAGGTTGGGTGTGATGCTTGCTTCTCCCTCTCCCTTTTCCATGTATCTATAGAGCCACTGCAGAGGAGTTTAAACAAAAGAAACCACCTTCTAAGATCCTTGGTATCCACTGTTAGCTGCTACACACTTCGAAATGAAATACACTGAACAACAAAAAAAAAGGCAGTATTTGTTGTATTAGGAAAATGAAGACAGTTGGCAGAAGATGTTGCTCGTAAGATAACTTTGTTTAGGCTCCTTAACAATCAAGCAATTGGCATTATGAAATGAAAGATGACCAACCTCCCCAGATTTCAGCACTGTTTCTGTGCTTCAGTGTGTCTGTGGCAATGTTCCCCTGCTTGTCCCCTACTTAATGATTTTCTGTCCAGCCCAAGGGAATGGGAGGGTGCTGGCCTGCACAGCCCATACCTGGGAGTTGTTGCTAGGCGTGGTAAGCTGCTTGATAACACTGATGTTTTAGCCATCTCTAGTGAGAGATGCCTGCTTGCTGAATGGGCTCTTCAATTTTTTATTTTCAACTGTGGAGTTTCTTTATGTAGTCTATAAGCCATTGTTTTAAAATGTTTATTTTTGGATTTTTATTTGTATGTGTGCTTCCCATGATGTGACAAGTCCTGGGAAAAATGCCAGCTTACATAGCCCAGGAGAGACCTTGTCATACTGTAATTACACATGATTCAGATTGCAAGAGAAGGTTTCTCTGTTCATTGGGAATAGTTAGTTGTAAATTTCAAGTAACACCAAACATGCCACTTAATCCTGGGACTTACTTTGGGCTTATAACGTCTTTGAAAGTGGTAAGAATAAATACAGAATAAGGATGCCAGGCATTGTAGCGTCTACTTTCGTACCTTTTAAGGTGTTATATTTGCCATTTTATAGATCTGTAAGTGAGAAATTGGAAATGGGGAGAAACTGCAAGAAGGGCTTTGTGAAAAATCTTAGTTACAAGATATTTAAAAGAAATGCACATATGCCCAGCTGTAAGTGGCTATTGATAATGACAGGTTAAATCACTTTCACTGTATACAGTAACTGATAAACAGAAGTGGACCTTCACACTGAGGATGAACTGCTCAGCCACGAAGATGGATGAGTCCTTAGTTTTACAAATCTTTGGTTTGGAAAAGCAAATTGATTTTCAAGTTGATTTCCTTTATTTCACAGTAATAATATGAGAACCTATAGAGGAAGAAATTACAGTATTTTCAACTTGTTGCCTAATGAGAATTACATGTACCATTTCAGAATTGAGCTAATTGGACTTGAATTAATGAAGGTTTACTCTGTCCTGAAGATGGGTTGGAGACTTAAACTTAAAATTACTAGCACAGAGTACTAGAAGAGAGGTTTTGATGAAATAGTGAAGCCTGGAATATCCATTAGCTGGTACAGAATAGGCAGGTCAGAGTATAATGCATTTTAAAACTATCTACTTGCAAAAAAAAAGACCGTATCTTATTTATTAGTACCAAAGATTTATAATAGTCTGATATGACTGAAATGAATGGTCACATTCAAAACATTTCATTTAAAATATTAATGTTTTCATCTTCAGTATGATGTGAATTTGAGTGAACTTTCTTTCCAATTATAGCCATTCTTAACTCTTGCAGTCTGTTCCATTGACGTTTATGATATGAAATCTGTTGCTTATTATTTTATGTCCGCTAATTTGGCCACTGGTATGATTTGATAGCTTTTTATTTCTAGCCCTAGTCCTTTGAGTGGGCAGATAAAGCATAATAAATCCACACTTAGAACTTTCCTTTGATTTGAATGGTTGAGCCCAGCATTACTGTGTAGTTCTGATTTGTGTTAAGGAGTCTTCTGAAATAATTTGGGTAACTTTTTATCAGGGTTCCTAAAATTTGAGACCAACCAGTTGCAGATACTGCACGTACCTGGTGTGTTTTCTCTTCTGAGGTGTTTAAAAGGTTTCAGGAAAAAGTAAAAATGTATAGCTATTCTGATACATTCATCAAGTGTTAGAAGATTTGTGTAGAGTTCTGGATGGAATTCAGATGACCATTGAGAGCAGTTCTACTACTTGGCATTTTGAAGCAACATACAACATAATTTTCCAAGGCACTTAAAAGCTGAATTATTGAAGGAAATCTCCTGTGCATTTAGTGGGAATGTAAATTGGGCACGGACATTTTGGAGGGCATTTGGCAACATCTATTAAGATTTTAAATGTTTACACCCTTTGACCCAGCAGTTTTACTTCCAGGGATTTTCCAGCAGATCCAGCTTCACAGCTACACAAAGTTACAGCATGTTGCTTGTGACTTTTTTAAACAGAAATTTGGAGGCAAGCCATGTAGGGGACCCCCAGCTGGGTACAGTTAAATGATGGGTGGTCTCTTAAAAGGGGGTAAATCTATTCGTAGATGCAGGATGATCGGCAAGAGATACTAAGTGAAATAAGGCACTGAGATACTTAGTGAAATAAGTCGCTAAATCAGCGCGATCCCGTTTAAAAAAATATGCTTATACAAATAAAAAGTGCATGTGTGTATGTGTATAAATAAATGAATTTTGGTTAAATGGGAACCCAGCTCCTACCAGTAGTTTTTTCTAATGTGTGCTCATGGTGTTGGCAGTGATAGGAGGTGTTTTTGTAGTGTTTGATTTTTTTTTTAAGTTAATTCTGTGTATTTAAAACATTCCAGTGAGCATTCATTACTTTTTTTTTTTTTTTTAAAGATTTTATTTATTTATTTGACAGAGATCACAAGTAGGCAGAGAAACAGGCAGAGAGAGAGGAGGAAGCAGGCTTCCCGCTGAGCAGAGAGCCCGATGCGGGGCTCGATCCCAGGACACTGGGATCATGACCTGAGCCGAAAGCAGAGGCTTTAACCCACTGAGCCACCCAGGCGCCCCCATTCATTACTTTTTAAGACTAAAAGACAAAGAGTAAAGACGCAACATAGAACTATCTTGGGTAGATATTATTGCTCAGTGGTGAGAAGTTAGGGTTAGGAATTACAGACTTATATTTAAATGCTGGCTTAAGACACTCCTAGTGTGATCTTTTTTATTTCCCCCCCTTAAGATTTTATTTATTATTTGAGAGAAAGAATAGGAAAGAGAGCAGAAGCAGGAGGAGGGTGAGGGAGGAGCAGACTCCCCACTGATCAGGGAGCCACAACACGGGGCTCCATCCCAGAGCCCTGAGGTCATGACCTGAGCTGAAGGCAGACACTTAACCAACTGAGCCACCCAGGTGCCTCCCCAACTCCTTCTGTGATCTTGAGCAAGTCATTTCTCTCTCTGGTTTCTCACTTGGGTTCTCATCTATGTTCCTGGAATGATGAAAGAATAGAACCATTACCTCATAAATTGAGGATTAAATATGAATCAGCTGTTCTCAAATTTATTTGTCTTAAGACTGCTTTACACTCTTAAAAATAGACTCCAAAGAGCTTTTCCTATGTAAATTATATCTAC